CGGAGAGATCATGTAAAAGCACGTTGACTCTCATCACTCTGCAGTTTAAGGCCACTCACATGGCCTATAGGCCCTATGCTCTTGTCATGTTAACTTCTTTCAGTTATTTGAAGACATAACCCCACTCATATCTCAGGGCCTTTGCACGCAATGTTCCCCTCCTTGGGCCACTCTGTCCCCAGGCCCCAGAAAGCTTTTGTCTTTGCTCGTAGTTTCTCTTCTATTCTCTAATCAAACAACCCAATTGTCCTCTTACACCTGCTCTTCTTTGTCACATCGCCTTGCTTTACATTCTTCAAAGTGCAACTTTCTGGAATTACTTTATTAGATAATCTGCTTTGTTGTCTGTCCCCTCCCTCAGGAGCACAAGAGCACATAGTGACCTTGTCTGCCTCTTTCACCCCAATGTCCCAGCCAGCCAGACACACATGACACGACTGAATGGACCATCAAAGGGAATTGCAGCTTTTTACTGAACAATTTTTTTGTTTATATTAAATATTTTTTACTCCGATATCAGTGGGCAATCTGTATTCTTATCTTTTGAGATTTGGCCAATAAATATGTTGATGAGCCTTCTGTATTTTTTTCTGGCATTATAGATTTTGATTTTGATTATTTTTTAGTATTGACCTTTCCAGTACAAAGAACACTTGGGTTTCAGGTGATTGCCAGTCTCCTTATCATTTCAAATGCGTGTGTTTCTGTATCATTTTTTTTTTTAAGTTCTACTAGGTTTAGCCATCAGAAATACCCATGGGATTTTTTTTTCCCCATTTTTCATCTTGGTGAATGCCTAATACTTTGATGATATTTTGGGAGAGCTGTGCTGTATTTTGAGTCTCCATCATTCCAGGAAAAATCTTTAGTAATTCTCATGCATTTTTATGAAGAGATGACTAATAGCTCGGACATTTTTTTCTGATTCATTAAAAAACTTACTACTACTTTTATGTCTGTTTGAAAATAATTTAATTCTGTTGTAGAGGACTTTCTATTGTCTGTCAACTTGGAAATTTTGCAGGGTACTTTCTACTTACTTTATTTTGGAGGCTTTTAAATGAGACCAGTTTTTTACATCAAATCCTGAGGAATCCTTTGCATTCCATTTCTTCCTTGAAAGAAGACTCATTTCTCTTGGCTGTGCTTGCTTCTTCTCAAACAGATTCCTATCTTTAAAACACCACCGGTCAGATCCCCTTATCATTTTGCAACAGTCTGAGTCATTGAAGTCCCAGCTCAAAATTCGCCCTTTGAGAGGCCTGACATCCATCCCCACCTCGCTTCCCCCCTCAGCACGTACACACGAGACCCGTGCGACGGGCCCCGCTGCGCCTCGTCTCCCTTCTCTACGGCTGTTCCCACACTGTTCGGAGTGCACGGATGTCTTATCTTTCCTTGATTGTAGATGCCTTCAGGAAAACACTGTGCCATCTTTTGGACACACCCCCTACCACTCCCTGCAGGACGGGGTTCCCTACTTCGTATACAGTAAGAACTCAATGGGTGTTTCCCTGTTCTTAGGTCCCCCTGCACTACGTATCAGCTAAAACGCAAAGAATTTTTTTCGTTTTCTTCTTAGCAGTTCTTTGGGCGACCTGCACAGCCCTCTGATTCTCAGCCTGGCACACTTGGCACTTCACATACACACATTACTATGGTCACAAGCCGCACTTTAGGTGTCCTGCTAGGAGCTTGCAAAGAATTGTACGTAAAAAAAGTACGTGTGTAGATTTTTTTTCTTTCTATGTCTAGAGCATCCTTCTGCTTGTGCCATGTAACAATAGACGCTTCAGGGGAAAGGTGTGACTTCCTAAAACCATCTTTACTCTAGAAGCTAAAAAAAAAGAAAAAAAATATATATACATATCTGCTAGTCAGTTCATTATGCAGTCTTTAGTGAAAACTTTTGTCAAAGGCTGTTATTTTTAAAAAGTGTGCCTGTGCCTTGCCTTTGGTGTTACTATAGATCACTTCAATCACCATTTCTACCTTCCCTGTTCTTTTCTGGGAGAGTTTCAGTTTTCGAAAAATCTGTTTTTTTCTATTATTTTATGTATCACATGGACACATGGGATTTTTTTTTTTTTTTTTTAAAGCACATGTCCCGGTACCCAAGAAGTGTTTAATAATTATTGAATATATATCGAGCAAAGATAGAGATTGTTTTTTAAAAAATTAGCTTGTTTATCAGTGTATCATTAAATAACATCTAGAATGCCTCTAGGTTACTGGCATGCTTAATATCTAACTAACGTCTTAACTTTGTCATGGTTCTGTTCTTAAATTCATGATTTTCTTGGATCTTCCTTTCCCATGGAAAGCTGAATTTAACTGTATTGTGATGGCTGTTCCTTAATGGCTCCTAAACCAGTTCCTGCCTAATATGTGCCATCCCCGTGTGGCTTTCTGAACCATGTGTTCTTTGAAGGAGGCTTTTAATCTGTGTAGAAGGAGGCATTTGCACACCTCAGCTAGAGGGCACGTTTTGCTAATACCCTTAGTTAATGCAAAGACACTTTGTTCTCTGGCTCATTTAATGTTTGCATCCTTAGTTATCTTCCTGATTACATGGTCCACAGAACGATTCGTTTAGTCACCTTTTTATTATGTGATTGTTGAATTTTCACGTGAGTTTCACGGTAATCTAATTTCTGGTAAGATTCTTACCCTGTTTTTGCTGGTTTTCACGAAGAGTAGTATGCTTCTTCCTCTGTAGACTTTGCTTATTCTCATGACACTAAATCTCTAAATTGCTATTCTAACTAAGCTCCTTCTTGAGATCATTACCGAGTAATTACCTGTATTCACTTTGTTTATCAGACCTCTAGGACTGGCACAGAAACCCTTACATAGTATGGCTCCGTGTTTTGATCTTCCCTTATCAATATTTGTCTTGTATTTATTCCCTGAACTTTTACTGAATGTCCATTTGTTACAGTGCATGTTTTAAGTCTCTGGGAGGGAGGGATAAATGGTGAATGAAAGATGATCTAGCTCTTAAGGAATTCACAATCTAGTGAGAAAGCAGTGGCGGAAAACATCCGATACACAAAATAACTGTAATTAGAATAAATAATGATACTAACAAATAGAAGGAAGAGGAAAAATATTTCATGGAAAAGGCGGAAGTTGGGTTTTACTTTTAAGGATGGGCGGAGTAGACAGAGGAGATAGAGAGGGCTTTGCACAAAGGCCGGGAGTGGGTGGTTCGTGGATGCAGACAGTGGAGCGGGAGTCATGTGGGCAGAAGGGCCAGCGTGGTACGTGATGGGGCAGAGCTGGAAGTAAACTTTAGGAAGTATATTGGGTTAAGGGATGGAGCCCGAATACCATGATGGAGGTTTTGGATTTCTTGGTGGGCAGCAGAGAACAAGGAATGATAGAAACATGAACTTTAATACTAATAAAAATAATTACCAGTTGTTGTGTGCCTAACCTGCACCAGGCACTGAGCTAGGAGGGTTTATATTTAACCTGCACAATAATGCTGAGAAGATAAGTGATATTCTTCTCATCTTATAGATGTAGAGTATAAAACTCCAAGTGAGAGACTCATCTGGCAATGTTGCAAAGCTTAGATTACAGGGGATTGGGACCTGAATCCAAACTATTAGCAGAGGGTCAATTAATATACCTGACTAACATATACTTTTGTCTCTTTCTCCCATTCCACTGCCCTAAAATTGGCCAAAAAAAAAAAAAATTATTTCTAAACATTCATGATCATGCCAGCAAACTAGATCACAGACTGTGAAAAGTGAAAGACAGGAATGGTTGTGGCAAAGAAGTTTCCACATGCTTATCAGAAATAAGGGGTTTCAAATGCTTATCAGAAAGGCCTGCTCCAGAAGACTGGCACTCAGGTGGTGACCCACGGCAGGAGGTGTGGATGCCAGCACTCGGGAGGGGCCGTGAAGTACTTGCCAGAATGATTAAGGTGTTTCTGTAGGAGGAGCCACACCCCTGGTCATTCGTTGCTCTTGGCCAGGTGTGACAGCTGTCACCAGACCTGGAAGGGCCCTTGAGTCAGGGGGAGCAGTGGTGCCCCAGGAGCATGACAACCTCAGGTGGTGCAGGAAGAATCCTATCCAGATTAACCACCCACATATTCCACTAATTAAACCATCAGGTAGCACTAACTCCCCTTCCTCAGTCCACAGGCGTAATTGGAAGACACACTCACAGAGAGACAACAGAGAGTCTCAAATGAAAAGAAGTCTCTAGGCAACAGTTAGCAAACATCTGGGAACAAATATTAACAATGATTAATGGGAACAAATTCCACTAAAAAAGGTGCCAAATTTAGCAAAAATTCAATAACTGCACTTAATTTTCTTTGAGTCTCCACTACATTTTTTTTCCTGTACCCGAGTTTTGGTATTTATCATTTTCTACAATTTCCTGGTTGCCTACCCCAAACACAGCTGATTGCTCATGTGAATGCACATACTCCTTCATATTTCTGGCACTGCGACTGTGACGCTATTGCCCTCATATCCATTGCTGTGACCTTGCACTTGTACTTCTGAGTATTGCTACTAATATACAACTGTATAAAGCCCCACTTCAATGAGACACCGATCAAGTTAGTAGCAAATGTTGAGGAGTTTTATAGCATTGAGACTCAAATTTATTCTTACTTTTGAAGGCACTAAGAAAAGCACATTGTTAATATTTTTTAAAAATTTAACTTTAGAAGGCTACGCTAAAGCAGTGTATTTCAGTATGTGTTACTATTTAAGCATATTTTCCAAGGGATTTTACACATGTACTTGTGAAGAATAAATATTCACAGTGACTAATCTTGTTTTAATTAACACCAAGAAAGTCATGATCGTTGACACGACAAACTATTTTCAGGTTTTCCTTTTTTAAATGTGGCAGTTGCCATTTAGAATGCTGTGAGAAGTGCTTGCATTCATCATCTACTTTTTTCTTTTTTCCCTTAAAAGTGAAACAGACTAGTTATTTAAAGATGACATATACATCATACTCACATTTTGTAGCCATCAACTTTTCAAAAGACTGGGCCCACTGTAACATCTCCTCCAAAGTAAGGCTTTGAAAAGAAACGAAAGGTGCTTATTGCACTAAAATATTCTTGGTTTTGCTGAACTAAGCAAAAATAGACTATCTTGAAAATAACACCAAAATATAATCACACTCCATTTGTGTTTGGTTTTGGTTAGAAGTTTATATTCCTGTGATATATTACATTATAATTTTACTTCCTAAAAGCTTAAAATTATAAAATTATAAAAGTAGTATAAACTTGAAAATATGGTAAAATACATTTTTAAAAAGTTAAAGAATTATAGCCTTATTATCTCCTGATTCCCAAATTACTACTACCAATATTTTGATTTTCTTTTTAGTATTTTTGTTCTGTGCATGTTAGTATGTTTTAACCAAGAAGTAATCATACTCTGGATGCGTGTTTGTGTGCGTGTGTATACTTTATGTGTATGCGTGGACATGTGTATATTATTATAATGACCTTCTCAGATGTCTTCACAGTTGTCTTAATAACCATTTATAGTGTTGTAATTTAGAGTTATAATTTATAATCAATGATACTCTCTATCATTTATGGTGACTGTGGAGTATCTACAAAGGGGCATTCCGTGGTTTGCATAATTATTCTCAATGAGTATTTGATTTCTTATTTTTCACCACAAAAACCAAATCTAGCCCTAATGTGATTAAAGCTTGCCTACCCAGTTAGGGTAATTCCTTAGGAGATTAGCAGAAGCAGAATCAAAGTAGGTCAGAAGAAGTACATTTTTAAGGTTCTTGGAACAAATCTTCGAGTCACCTTTAAAAGGGTTATGCATTGTGTATTGCCACCACCAGCAAAGTGTCTGCCCATTTATCTACTGGAATTTTAGCATTTACCCACAAAACCTATTTGCATACATTCACATAATATAGTTACCACATGTCTATTATGTATAGCTATTTTCTCAGTCTATTATTGGCTATAATTTTTTATATGTTAAGGGTTTTAATTTTATTACTGTGAATAACACATCGTTACATTTGACCTAAACAGTATTTTAAAAAAGCATCTACCATTTAGAAAATATCTGTGAAAGATACTGGCTCTGAGGCTTCATTTCTGTTCATATTGGCAGGCTTTTGAGATGAATTGGCAAGTGACGATGTCTGCTTACATATAAATTATCTTATTTTCCCTCCTTTAAAATATACGATGTGTTCATCGCCATTCAGTTTATGATACATTCTTAGGTTTCCTGTATTCAATAACTGCACTTAATGAAAGACAGCTATAGATACAAGCAAGCACTTTCCATTGGCTATATCTGGTGTACTTAGCCCGATAATTAGTGTTGAAGGAACAGCCATCAGCATTAGCAGGTACCTAATATAATAAAGGAAGATTAGTAAAAGAGGTTAAAAAATAACCTAGAACATGGAAAAATATTGGGAGTCCTAAAAAAGGTCAAATATCTTTTGTTTTCTAAAAATTTAGATGGCTCTTGTCATTTTTAGAAGGACTATTTGCATCAGTACTGAGGCTTAACAGTGTACTGCTGGGAGGCTTGCTTTCAGAAAAACATTTCCATGAAATGGTGTCTGACTCATTGTTCTTTTCTCTTATTAGAACTTGAAAAACGGTAACCTAAAATAACCTTTTCAATTTGGTGAAATAAAAAGTTCCCGGCAAGGTGTATTGCATGTCTGTCCATTCCACCCATTGCTATAATTTAGGATAGAATAAAATCTACAACATGGGTGAAGATGCCATCGCTGTCTTTGGTTGGCTTAAAAGTTGGTGTTGGTAATTGTTGGCAAGAGAATTCCTTTACACCTAAGATCCATGAGATTTGTGGAGAAAGACAATAATTGGAGTAATTATAGTTGGGGACAAGTTATGAAATGAAATTTGTTTTTGGTTTAACCTCATTTTTGCTTGAAATTTTTTCTTAGTATCTCACACGTTTCTCACTGTCCCATGGCTATCCTGGGGCTTTTATCAGAATTATTCTAAACACCGTCATCCCCTCACCCACTCAGATTCCTAACAAAAGTGCTGCACTTTTATGTCCCCTCCTTTCTTCTGGACAAATAGACAGTGGGTAACGAGCAGATCTGCGAACATTCAGAGGCATCAGGATGGAAAGAGGGATGAAAAGAGAGATTGGAGCTGGACAGTCCTGGCTTCTAAATCCAGTGCTGCTCTGAATTGCTTTGGGTTTTGATTAAAGTCTCCAAGCCTCAGTTTTACTATCTATAAAATGGGGATAATAATATCTATCTCACAAAAGCTGTGTCATGAAATCAAATTAGGTTGTAAATGTCAAGCACCTATCACATGACAGTTATCTAGCAGCTTGCCACGCATGGGTAGAAAGAAACGGGGGCCCTGCCAGTGATGCGCTACAGGGGTCCTCAGCAGAAGAGAAGGAGCCGTTCCCCAGTTAGGCCACTTCACTTTCCTCCTTGCACGTGCTCGTGCGTGCAGCAGCCACGGCCTGCCATTCAACATGCTGTGCTTTGGGGCTCACTGTCTCCTCTCCCCACTTGTAAGCATTTGGGGGCATGTTGGTACTTGGTGCTGGGAGCTCTGACCACAGCAGGGCGATGTGGCCAGACCCGAGGTCTCCACACACACTAGGTTAGGCACTCATGGATCAGCTAACGGGGTCCTTGCCCTAGGAATTTTCTGAGGTGAGTGAATCCAATCTCTTGGCCTGCTACTCTTCTCAGAGACATTACACTTTCCATTTTGCTACAGTTACTGTCCCTACCCAGAGAGCTACAATGTCTAAGAGACTTAGGAGCTTGGTAAGCATTGGGTCACTCGTCCTGGTCTCACCTCTTCCAGCTGAGGTTCCAGGTTCCTGGCACATTGCAGATGGAGGATTTCAACATGAAAATATTTTGGATCAAAGAATCTCATTTTAACATAAATGATATAAAACCTTTTTTTTTTAAAATCTAAGAATATTTATTCATAACAGACTCTCTAAAAACATTTAACATGCCAAATTCTCAAGTGTAAACCATGAATAATGAAAAGGGAACCTTAGTGTGACAGATGATTGCTCTTCTGGGGAAATTACTCATGTGTAAATGCAAATTTTACTTTTTGAACAAAATATACTAAGATAGCAGTTGAATACACATATTTCTATTTATTATGTAATAAAGTGCTCTATAATGGCCATAGACTTTAAATGCTACTTACTTTGAAGGGGACCTCTTCGATTCATCTCTGCACGTCTTACAGATCCAACAATTCCGCCTGTTCATTTTTCTAAAGAAATACAGAATACACTTAGTATAATTTAGTCATTTAAAATAATTGTGTTAGCATCAATTTTTAAGGAGCACACAAACTTATAAATCATGAAAAAAGAAAGATGAATTCTTGACATTAATGGGACATAATTATTGGTGGAGGTGGAGAGGAGAGAGGAGAATAAAAGGACTCATACACATTTTATAGGAAGGTAGATGCTTAGAGTTGGTGCCCTTAGAACCCATCTGTCCCACCTGTTTGTCAAATCATGGCATTTAAAAAATACAGCTATCTGAAAAACAGTCGTTCCATTTAGGCCCACAACAGTGAATTTATTCATTGTTGGATTCTTATTTTTAGAAAGATCTCTTGGTATTGAACAAGAATTTTCCTCTTTGTAATTAGCCAGATAAAATGTAAATATCCAAATGAAAACTAAGCCTCCTTAAGGTTGAATTCTGAGAGAGTGTTGCTTACATGGTTCTCCTCTTTCTGGGAGGTATAATTTTGACTTTAAAATTCAAATACGGTCTACTCAACCCAGGCTTTATATAACAATGCATGTCATTTTTAACATAGGACTTTGTGACAACTCAAAAACATGTTAAGAATAATGAAATCCACAGTTTATAATGAGAGTTGGAAATATTTTGCTACACATGTATTCACACTTACATACAATGAATTATTGAGGATAAATAGTGAGTTTTTATCTCAGTCTTTATTGATTCATTTGAAACATCTGTTGAACACTTGTTATGTGCCAAATGCTGGCTGCCAGTGATCTACATAGATCCTGTCTCTTCCCGTTTTCACTGTTTTAACAAGCAGTTAAAATTCATGTGATGGGACTTTGATACAGGAAGTAGGAGGGCCCGTGAGAATACACGAGAAGAGAACGTAACCAGACTTGGGGTGATTAGAGAAGGCACCCCAATAAAGTAACCGCTGAGTTGGAACCTACAGGATGTGCAGGAATGTGCTGAGTGCAGGGGAGAGAGAACTTAGGGCAAAGCTCAGGAGGCAAGAGGTGGTGTCTTAGTTACACAAGTGAGAGGGATGCAGTCACCACGTGATTCTAGAGTGTGGCAGGAAGAGAGCTCAGAGAAAAGGCTCGAGTTACAATCAGACCAATAATCATGTTCAAAATGTTTGTCGCAGCAAGAAAGTGGTGAGAGGTGTCGTGAAGAGAGCCTGAAGCAGAGCGGGTTAGATCTCACGCACCGTCCGCTTCGTAGTAAGGACAGTCACTGAAGGTTCTAAAACATGGAAGAGACCCGTTAGCATTTGAGACTGGTTCTGTGAGTAGAATGGATTGCAGTGTGTTGAGGATGGAACTGGGGGACCGGTTAGGAGGTGACTGCAGGAGTCCAGGAGAGGGATGTTGCAGGCTCACATTGGGATGGTGGCAGTAGACAAGTGGACCCCTTCTGTCCTCTCTCTGTGTCTCTCTCATGAAAGCTGTGGACAGAATGGTATCATAGAGGCAGGACGATGCCATTTGACCGTGCTGGTCTGTGCTCTGTGCATCGTTCATGTCATAAGGCCTACAGTGTGAGTGACACACCTTAAGGTTGACAAAGAGTGGCCATGAACAGAGATTGAAGACGTAGAGGAAAGACTGAAAATCTGTAGAATTCCATGTTCCTGAAATACCTTTAGCGGGAGCTGGAATTAGACTGTGCGGGCTATGACCCTGGAGAAGGGGAGGCACAGGAAGTAGAGGCACAGGAAGTGGAGGCACAGGAAGTGGAGGCACAGGAAGTGGAGGCACAGGAAGTGGAAGCACAGGAAGAGGTTACTGTCTCCTTGTCACTGGAAGGGGTGGAGGAAGCATGGGTGCAGTTCTGTGCACGTTCGCAGGTTTGGGCATAAGACCTGACGGGCACTGTGGTCGACGGACTTCATTTTCTGTATGAATCTCTACCATGAAGATGACCAAGTGACAAGGTAGTTAAATATATCCACAGGAAGGAACAAAATAGGAGTCTTTTGATTACAATTGTAGATTAAATCTAAGTTTAAGTACAAGAGTTTATTATAAGGATATGTTTGTGGGTGCAGTTAGATTCTGGATGGCCTTAAATGTTGGGCTCTATTCTGTTGGAAGTAATAATTCATTGAGGTCTTTGAAGAATAGTGTGATGAAAAAAAGAGTCCTTTACTGGAAAGATACAGCTGACTGTAGATGATTAGTGCTGACATAACTGAGGCCGAGGAAATTGCCCATGGACTGGCTGTCCACAATGGATACTGTGTGGCATTGGGCCCCGAGCTTCATTAAGGTTCCTCAGCCCTGGGATTGCCTCCGAGAAGCAGGCTGCCTAACCGCTCTCTGCTTATCTCCTAAGCGGGAGAATGGTCAAGTTCCTTTTCCATATGTCTTCTCTGTCAGTGTAACGACTCGTCCTCATCTTCCACTAGGCCTTGACTTTTCTCCTACCTCTTGACGACCCGAATGGTCTGTATATCTCATTGTCTCCTCGCTGGATCTACTAGAGCTCTGTATGCATGTGGTAATTTCCGTAACTAAAATCTCTGTCTGTCTACAAATTATTGAATTTTCTTTTACGACTTTAATGAGATTGTGGGATTATGGCTGAGCCATCTTAGTATGCAACACCTGCTAGGGTCCGAAGGATAGCAGTGGCAGAGTCATCCCCAGATGCGCCCGAGTTCAGGGAGTCCCTACAGCCCCTGAGAGGCGTATTAAAATAATTCTGTTCCCTGAAGCCAGATAGACTTGGGCCTGAGTTCAAGCTCTTAGCTCTGTTATCTTGGGCATAGCAATTATACTTTCAGATTCTCAATTTCCTTTTCTCTAAAATGGAACTGTGAACATCAGAAAAAGGCATGCAGAAACTTTCTGTTCCAGTTAATCTGATCTTCCTTCAGCTTCTCGCACCATGTCACTCAGGAGGTATTTCCTAAGCTCTTTTGTATGTGCAGGAAACATGGACCACCAGGCTGCATTCCTTCCTCTTTTTAAATTTCAACTTCTTTTCATTTTTGTTTGTGTTCCTGGGTTTCTATTGTTCACACATCATATTGGTAGCTGGAGTCTCAGCTTTGGAATTAGCTGGATCTACTATAGGAGTTCAGACACTTTGGGGTACATGTATATCATATTGATGTGATGGAGCCATGGGAAGGGTTTGTTGGGTCAGAAGAGCTTGGGCATACTTGAGTGCCGGAGGAGGAAGGGATGAGGGGGACAGACTAGCCAGAGTGTCCCCTTATATACAACTATGCAGGTTGTCCCCTCTGTAGAGATGCTGGTCTGGAGGAGAGAAGAGGCCTAGATCTATCCACACTCCCTTCATCAAGCTGAGTCTCCAGGTGGGGCTTCATCTGTGGAGACAGACTACCTTGTTAAATTTCAGCAAAGGCTCTGTACAGACCAGCAGCAGCCCTGGGCTCAGCTATGTGACTTGTTCAGAGGCAGATCTCTGGCCCAAGCTGGTCATTAGTTGAGTGACATTAGAAAAGGAATGTAATATAAATGTGTGTGTGTGTGTATATGTGTGCTTTGTATTCTGTACATTCCTATAGAAATGACAACATTTGTACATTCATTATCTAGGGCTGTATTGGAAAGATATATTCATAACTACCATGTTTTATATATATATATATATATATATATAAACACACATATACATATATATATAATATGCAGAAATAATGTCATTTATATTTCTGATTTATTTATCCTACTATAGATTCCCTAAAGTGTTATGTTCAAATGCTATTTGATAACTGTATATAAGTAGTTTATATTTTGTTTAGTATTCCAAGTCTAACATCCACAGATTTATTATTGATGGACTACCAATAGAATGACATAAAACAATAATTAATAAAAATTAGTAGTGGAATTATGGACAAGATGTATTATTCATAGAATAAATAGATCGCAAAGCAGCCTTGTTTTACAAAGTTCTCTGGTTTTCTAGTCCATTACAAAATGCGCCTTGTTGAGTGCTGTCTCAGTAGCTGGGGTTCAGCTCTGTGAACCCCATCCTCTAAGATTTCTGGGACTGAATGTCCACTCACATGCTGGCACTTCCTTCTTTGATTACTACTAGATTCATTGTCACTATAGACCGCTATTTTGCTGGGGTATCACAGAACACTCCCCATGTTCTTGTAATGCATTTTACATTGAAACCAAGAGACAAATTCACAAATATTTGCCCCAGCTTCTGGCAATAGAACAGATCGAGCCCCTGAGTTTATTGCCTCTTTCTACCAAAACACTGACAAAATTATAGTAAAGGAATGTATAAGGCTTTAATATGAAGGAAAAAAGGAAATTATAAAAAGACAGAAAACAATATTTCAAGCTAGTTTTGGAAGATGGAAAGCAGATGAAGGAATAGAAATTAAAATTCTCATACTTCTAAAATGAGAAGAGAAAAACCGGCCTTTGAAATTTCATCTAGCAAAACAAAGAAAATATAATTCACAGTCTGAAAACAAAGAATTTCTAACATACCTGGTGGTTTAATAAGAAATGTCTGCTACCCTGCATTCAACAGTATTTGTCATTCCATATACATTTGCATCTATAGGTTAATAATACCAAAATATAGAGTGGTAGAGTGAAACACTTTTACATTTGCAGTTGAGAACTTTTAAGAAATACTTTTGGTAATTCCAAAAAGAGTAAATTCTAATTTTTTTTTTAAAAGTATTGTTTTTCAGGACGAGAATTTGATTGAAATATCCTATTAATAAACTCATTTATTTGGTTTATAGTTAAATCCAATTAAGACCATTTTCAGTTAAATTATACCCTTGGAATTATAGTATATGTGGTCATTTTCTAGAAAAAGTAAGTATTAGCCTCAAATATATCATAGAATTATAATTCTACTTTGGCAAAAAGAGAATTCCCTGTGAAAGAATTACCTGAACTGATATAATATAGAATTGATTTAAATGAGAGAAACTCACTTAGCTTTAAATCAGCAGTAATCATTTTTTTCTCATGTTGGTAGTATGGCATGTGGAAAAATTCCATTGACCTAAAAATAAAAAATAACGGAAACAGACAAAAACAAAGATTATTGTGTGCTTCCTGGAAAATGCATATTTGGCAAAGATTTCTATAAATACCTTGCCTTACATCTGAAATAGTTTGTTTACTTTGTAAGCACCGAATTATGATTATCCCTATTTTAGATTTATTAACTCCCCACCTAGAAGTTTATTAATTTTATGGATTTATATTATAAAAATTCTATACTTTTAACTGGTATTTTCCACTGTTTTTCAAAAAATATTTTAAATTTTTTTATGTTAACATCATACATGAATTTGTCTTTTTTATTATTTTTTTATTTTTCAAATTCCTCTTGGTAAATTTTACAATCTAAGCATAGAGTTTTTAGAACAAATTTAGGTCTTCATAATGTTTTCTCCTCCAATTTTTTTCCTGATTATTTTGAAGAAAGTGTACATTTCATCTAGCAAATCTAATTCTTACAGTGGTTATAAATATACTAGTGGTGAATTGAGTTGGATATGTTTTATGCCAGAAATAGATTCAAGTCTCTTCTAGCATTAAAATGAAACATTTCTCAAAGTAAAATGAAAAGAAATGATTTTTTCTTAAACTGACCCTTTTCACATATTTACATATTTTTACTATCCTGATAGGCAATTGATGCCTTCTTTCCATTCCTATGTAATATTTGTATTTAAGTGTGTTTCTTTATATTGTAAGGTAGCATGTCACATAAAATTTAGAAAAACCTAGAGCAATTTATATTTCCATGAGGTTTGGTTTACCATCACACACAAAGCTCTTGCCTTTTAAAACACAAGTACTGTGTGTAGTTGAGCTTAGGTATAACATTTAAGAATGAAGACATCCTGTAAAATTAAGATTAACAATGCTTCCTATAAACCTCACAATCTGGAATCAGTACAGCTAATTAAATGATAGAACTAATTATTTGGTAGTGCATGATTTTTGGGAAAAAAAAAACCAATTCTGAAATATCTGATTTTATAATATATCTTTATCTTAACATATACACACCTGTACACACAGAAATCCCATAAAATGGAAGACTGTTCTTGCTCTAAAACTGTAATATTTCCTTTACTGCCCAGTTTAGAAGCTTCGTTTATGCATATGTGACTATAAGGTTTTTTTTTTTTTTTTTTTTAGGTATAGAACATATCCAAGCCCTCAAATTCTAATTTATCTGTTTAGTGTTTGTCTTCTATCTGTTCACATTAGAATGCAAACTTCAGGAGAAAAGAACTATGTTTTTATCTCCCTACTCTACCTCTGTTACCTAGAATAGTACCCAGCACACAGGCAAACATATGTATTTACTCATTTATTTTCCTTAGAAGAAACCTGCTAACACTTCTAGCAGTCCTGCTGTTGAAATAAACACCCACGAGTCATTTACGTCAAGCTAATACTATTGTATACATCAACTATTTTAAAGACCCTCATACTTACAAATATATCCTGAAGAACAGTCAACCATGCTGGATTTTATTTCCTCTTTGCATGATGCTTTTGAAATCAGGTTCCCAACTTTCGTGAGACACCCAGCCTTTTATTTTTCCTGGCATAAAAGAACTTTACTGTCTCTGTAATTGCCTTCGATGGCACACGGGCCTCTGCCTGAATGTTCTGTTTTTATACATGTATCTATGCAAAGAGAAGTTTTGTTGAATATGGAAAGCAGAGAGAGCTGTGGGACTCCAGGGTACTGCTGATAAAGAGATTCTAACAGTATCAGCTCATCTACTGTGATCAGATGAGGGGAAGCAGAAGCTCCATGAACTCATCAGTGAATAGTCAAACTTTATTTTCCAAAATAATTTATTTTTCTAGTTTTAGAAATGTATAGCATCAAATAAAATTTCCCTTAAAAATAACAGAAAACCGAATACCAATAAGTAGGCTACCCCTGCCAACACTTCCTGTCAAATTATTGTAAATTATGAAAATCAGTCTGTCATTTTGCTAAGGAATAGTCAAGTTCCTAAGGACTTGTAACAGCTGAAAGGTCTAAAGAGGCCTCCTTGCTCGTCAGATCTTTCTAGTTCCTTCAACTGGTTCTCATGGGGCCGCTTCTGGATTCCCCATTGTTCTCCAGTTTGCTGATATACCTGTGAAAATCTGAACGCCAAGTGAGGACTAATGAATGCAGAGTATGGTAAGAGTTGTTAATGCCCGTGTCCTAGGTCTAGTCTAACCGTGTGTGTGTGTGTGTGTGTGTGTGTGTGAGAGAGAGAGAGACAGAGAGAGAGACAGAGAGAGAGACAGAGAGAGAGAGAGAGAGACAGAGACAGAGACAGAGACAGACGCACAGTGGTGGTGGATGAGGAATGCTACAATAAAACAGCAGAGAAGAAGATCAGAATGTGGTTGATGGAGTCAGTGGTGGTGGATGAGGAATGCTACAATAAAGCAGCAGAGAAGAAGATCAGAATGTGGTTGATGGAGTGTTTTTTAAAGTGTTCGAGAGCTTAATGAGGTAGAAGATTATCTTGACTTGTATGTCATGATTTTGAGGTTCATGAGTTTGGGACCGGAAAAGGCAGACAAACTCCATAAAGTCCGAAGTACATCAGACAATGTGGGAGGTGAAGAGTGGGGTTTGGGTTAGTCATGGAGGGTCCAGGCTGTCTGCTGAATGAACTCATTTTCACTGGTCCTAGTGATCCAGTTCCTTCTCTACCCCAGGACTTCTGGGAGTTTCTTTAGGCTCTGTGCCTGGGACTTAGGATTATTTCTTCTTTCTCATGGTGTGGGTGCAAGGAGCAGACAGGAAGATTCTAGAAGCAATGCTCTGCTTAACAGAGTGAATGTCGGTTTCACAGCCCGCTTAATGGAGTAAAACAGCATTTTCCTATGGAGTGAAAACTGGGTGTCACGGAGTAAAGAGTGACAGATGGGCAGGTAGAAGGTGGTCCTGCAAGAATTCCAGAACAAGGCGTAGGTGGTGTGGCAGCTACCTCAGCATTTGTAGTGCCCTTGGCAAAGGGTAGACCATGTCTGATGACTGGGGTCGGAGGAATGCAACCTGTGGACTGTGTCAGCGATGCCAGGGCAGGGCAGGCAGGCAGGAGGTGGGGCTCCCTGGTGCAGTTCGGCACTGCCCTTGCCTTGGCAAGGCTGTGGTTTTCGTTAGCTGTCGTCTGCCTGCTCCTGAGCACTTTTACTCTGTTTCTATTTCAGCCAAACTAAGTCCGAAGTCACACATTTAAATGTGCAAAAGAAAGACTACTTGATACTGTACTTTTGTATGGTTAAAAATCCAAAATGAATTTACTCAAAATGGAGTGTTAGATATTGGTTGTTTTTGGTGATGGCGGTTTAAGAAATAAACCTATTGTTTATCGTGCATCCTGTTTATATTGTATAGTTACCATTTGTTCATAGTACCCAACAAACTTATGAAAATAGTCTATATTCTTTAATATATAGTACTCAAAATATATAATTAATATATAGTACTTGAATATAATAATATAATATGTATTTAATATACTTTAATATGGTATACTCATTTAAAACATATACATTGAATATATGATGAGTATATTATACTTTTTAACATATTCTAGAAGCAAAATGAACCACTCGTGGGGTCCTCAGTGAAAGCTATCCAGTAGACAGTAGCTATGCCACTATTTTCATTCCCACGTAGGAGAGATTTTCTAATGTGTCGATATGTGTAATCACCGACTTTGGGACGCTGTGCGATGGTTAGTGCATGAGCTGCTGCTGAGGGGGAAGCACACGCTACACAGTTGCATTTTCTACCCACTTGCAGAAATATATTTCTTTTCGAACCTGACTTTAAAATGCTACTCAGCAGCTATTTCTAGCTATGCACATCTGTTATTTAAGTAAACTCAGATCATGCTGTCATTTCCTTTAACTAAATTGAAAATCAAGGGGTTAGATAGTAAATTATGAAAACATTTAACGCTAAGTATTATATAAAAATGCTAGTTCCTGCTTAGTAACCTAAGAAGACAAAACAAAAAGAAAGATATAGTGGAACAATCTGTCAGAGGTAATATTTGACGTGACTATGTCCTGAATCTTTAACAGAAGCTTACAAAATAATTATTTTAGCTTTACATTTCTTCAGTAAGGATTTAAAAAATTTTATTCAAGTCTTTATTTACAAAGATATAGAGTTTTTAACAAAAATTTAGGAAACATTTGCATTTTATTTGTGGATAGAACCCTGCTCAAGAAACTGCAAAATGGCTAGTATCTTCATCCGAATCTTCCTTATGTCACCAAGATTTGCAACCTTGCTGCTTCTTCGAGAAGATGTGCATGATATGCGTTTTGTCAGGGCCCCATCGCCTTTCCCAGATCCTGAGATAGCATCTTAGCTTCTTGGTTTCCTCATGTTCCACTGCACTTTTTGTCAGGGTGATTGATGTTTGCTTCTACTTTCCCTAAACCGGACCCGACCCTCTCAGCCTTTCCCCTGGGCCCCTTCTGCCTGCATCACCCTCTCTTGTTGCATCTCTTCAGAGTGACCTCTGTCAGTCTTAACAGACTCAGTGTCCCTGTCTTAGCACGTGGCCTTGCATCCTACAGCCCAGAGACTAGAAGCACTCGCCTCCAGGTCTTGTCCTCTCTGGCTTACTGCTGACTAGAAACCACCTAACTCTGGCTTCTGTGTGGCCTTGTGTGAAGCAAAAACATAGTGACAACATAAATTAGAACACCGGACACTGCTGCCAGCCCAGAATGCACTTAAATGGCAATTAAAATTAGCTACCAATTTGTCTGCGTTTATTCAAATGACTTACTCTAAAGGTGCCTTTATTACAATCATGGTTTGCCCGTCTATCACGTTCATTCACTGACTTCCAATCGTTTTCCACTTGGCTGCGGCTCCGAGTCCACTCTCTTGGCCTTCCTGGGCAGTCAGTGATGCTTTCAGGTTTATGAACTCCAGTTTGCAACTGGAAGGCAACAGACAGCAGCCTCACATGGTTTCCACTTTCTCCTGAGCACTTACTGGGCTCATTCTACCCTTGCCAATAGTTCAGGAGATCAGTTGGAATCTTATTGTTTCCCTCAGTATTTTTTAGGCAGCATCATTATAGCTAGGAAAGCAATGTTCTTTTGCTGTCAAAAAAGGAGACAGCCCACAGTTGTTTAATTGGGAGAGGGCCGTGTCCATTAGCTTTTTCAGAAGTTCATGTTCATCTGTGGGACCCTCTGAGAACGAGGTTGAGGGTATCTCCTTTTAAATAAGATTGCATTAGCTGGAGGCTTCCAACCTGGGACTGCTTTGCTATTTCTTTGGCATCGTGGGTTCCTAGACCACACAGGTAAGGTAAATTTAAACTATAAACCCAGGAGAGCACACACCTGGTGTTATGCCAATTCCAACATGTTTCCTTGTCATCAATCTTTATAGGTGACTGGTTTTTCCTGTTTACTCTTTTACAGAAGATGTAGCACTTTGAGGGTCCTTAGCCCATCTTCCTCCCCGGTGAGGCCTAAGGTCTCTTTTTCTGGTAATTGGGATTAGCAAATGCTGAGCTCAGCCGTATGTTAAATGCTAGTTTGCCACTCAGATTTAAGATTCTCTCTGTTTTTCCTTGGAGACTTTCCTTATTTTTTTGCAAAGTTAACTATGCATTTAAATGAGGGGTATTTGTTATATACATTTTTTTTTTAGCATTTTGAGTAAATAGTAAGATCTTTCAAGGTATCTCTTATCTACCATAATCCATATTTTCTTTTATATGGTACAATGTGATATATTCATTTTTTAAGAAATCCAAATGCCATGAAATATCAAGGAAGCTGGCATTTCAGAATTTCCTTGCTATATACAGATGGAAAGCACCGTTATTTGCTTCTGGAAGTGAGGAATGCCTCAAGCACACAGGGCCCACTGGCTCGGAGTTGTGAAGCTGAAAGCTGTGTGGTTTCTCATCCCCTAAACAATCCTTCGCTCTCATTCTTTGTATGAGAGCCCCTCATTTTCCACAGAGTACATGAATTTTCTGCCATAAAAGGGCAGAACAAACACACCTGTGCCATATTTCCTATTTCATTATATGTAAAATCACAGTGATGAAAATGGCTTTTTTGCAGATTACTATTTAAAAACTTGTGGACAATCTTGTAGCAACTCTGCCCCCAGAACAATGGCGAATGGTGACAAATAGCCCCATCTGCCCCATTCATGGAGGTCTGTGTGTGTTCCAGGGATTCAGCAAAGCAGACGGCCAGGCATCGACTCAGAGGCAAAGATAAGTTAAGAAGAAATAGGACCTCTCATCAGCTGGTAGGTTGTACAAAAGAGGGTGGAGAAGTCAGGATTAACTTGCATGGCAGCTTCCTCCTTTTCTAAGGGGACCTCTGGCTTCTGTCATACCTGTTTCCACTGCATATGTCGACATAACACCGAGACTGGCATAGTAGATGCTCAATAAATATTTGAATAATTAATAAATATATTTTCTTTCTAACAAAATTCGTCCAAAATAAAAATTACCTTTAATGTTCTTTTAACCAATTTTCACGAATATAAAAATTGGAAAGAAGGATTATATTGTATGCATTTTACCACATTGCGAACCTTACTTAGAGATAATCCTGTGTCTCTCCTGTAACCTTTTTATAACCTACAATTTGT